ATGAGCTTATAGGATCCAGCGGCAAAGGGTATAGGGGAATTGTAAATGTTATGCCAATACTTGTTTGTTCTAAGCCACAGGGTTGACCTTGTGGATGATCTCGTACGGTCCAAAGAACCGAGCCACGAGCTTCTGGTACACACGCCGAAAAACCGAGGCCTGCCGGTAGGGATGCAGCCTTAACAGTACCCAGTTACCCACCTCGACTCCTCATCTCTTCGCCCTGCGTCCTCAGCCTGCTTCATCTTGTTGTTTGCTTTGACCAAATTTGTTCTCAACTACTCCAAGGCCTTGTCGCGCGCGCCCAACCACCTATCCACCGTGTCGACAGAACTCGACCTGCTCCTTTAGTGCACCAAAATCGGGGGTGACCTGCCATATAGAGCCTCTAATGGGGTCATTTTAATGGCCCGGTGAAACTGGTGTTATACCACAATTCCGCCCAAGGAATCATGGCCAGCCACTGCTTCGGCTGCTGGTGTGCGAAACATCTCAAATACTGCTCTAGATGCTTATTAACGATCTCTGTCTGCCCATCGGTCTGAGGATGATAGGCCGAGCTCATGCGCAAGACAGTCCGCGCCAGAGCAAAGACCTCCTGCCAGAATCTGCTCAAGAAAACCGGGTCATGATCACTGACAATAGACCTGGGAAACCCATGATGTCTCACCACTCCCAGTACGAACTGCTCGGCCACAGACTTCGCCGTATACGGATGTGCTAATGACATGAAATGGGCATACTTGGTGAGCCGATCCACCACCACGAACAACACCGACTTTCCGCCAGAGGGAGGTAATCCCAAAATGAAATCCATGCTTATATCCTTCCATACCCGCTCCGGCACCGACATCGGCTGGAGAAGTCCGGCCGGCCGCAGATGGGACAACTTCACTCTATGGCACGTATCGCACGAATCCACATAGGCCTTCACATCCTGCGCCATACGGGGCCAGTAAAAATGGTCTTTGATCCAGTGGAGTGTCCTCTCGGCGCCTGAATGCCCTCCACATGGAGAATCATGGAACTCCTGCAGTACTGTTGTGACCAAATTCGACCCTAGAGGAAGAACCACTCGACCCTTGAAGGTCACCAACCACTGCCGAAATAGATAATGCCCCGGGTTGTCGCTCACTGCGATCTCCTGGCAGTCCTGTAAATACTGGTTGGTCTCCGTGGATGCCCGCAACTCATCCAAAACTGAGGAACTGGGCTCGGCACTACGGCGAGAACCTCGCTGCCCGGTCTCCTCGATAACCTGTCCGCCACCACATTAGTGGGCCCTGGCCGGTAATGAATCTCATAGTGGTAGCCCAACAGCTTCGACACCCACTTATGCTGATCTGGCGTAGACACCCTCTGCTCTAGGAGATGCTTCAAGCTTTGGTGATCAGTATAGATGTGAAATTTCTGCCCCAGGAGATACGGTCGCCATGTCTGTACTGCCGTAATAATCGCCTGCATCTCCTTTTTGTATGTCGACCACGCCTCTTTGGATGGCGCCAATGTCTTACTCATAAAGGAAATGAGATGGCGGTCCTGAGATAACACCGCTCCGATCCCCCTACCCGATGCATCTGCTTCAATCACGAATGGCTTGGAAAAGTCCAAAATTGCTAAAGTCGGGGTGGTCGTCATTGCCTGTTTCAACTGCTGGAATGCGACCTCCGCCGCTGGCGACCATGCAAACCCTCCTTTCTTCAGCAGGTCCGTCAGTGGTCGAACGACCATGCTGTAGCCCTGCACAAACTTACGATAATAACCAGTTAGACCCAGGAGCCCTCGCAACATAGTGATAGTCGCGGGAACCGGCCAGTCCACCATTTCCTGAATCTTGGACTGGTTCACCTTCACACCCTGGGGAGTCACCATGTGACCTAGGTACTCAACCTCCTGTACTCCGAACTCGCACTTGGCGACTTTGATATAGTACTGATGTTCTTGCAGTATCCCAAACACAGTCCGCAGGTGTATGAAATGATCTGCCCACGACGGACTGTAAATCAAAATATTATCAAAGAAAACCAGAACGTACCGACGTAGGAGAGGTCGAAAGATGTCGTTCATGGCTGCATGGAAGGTGGAAGACGCATTACACAGTCCAAACGACATCATCACTTACTCGTAGTGCCCGTTATGCGTGCAAAAAGCTGTCTTATGGACGTCCTCCTCCTGCATACGGATCTGGTGATACCCTGCCCTCAGATCCAGCTTAGAGAAATAGCGTGACCCATGAAGTTCGTCGAGCATATCGTCCACCGTTAGAATGGGAAACAGATCCTTCACCGTGGCATCATTGAGCGCCCTATAATTAGTGCAAAAACGCCACGTCGAATCCTTCTTTTCACTAGCAGTACTGGCGACAAAAACAGGCTGGTGCTCGACCTGATAAAACCCGTGGTCAGCATCTCGGTTACCTGCCTCTCTATTTCCTTCTTCTGCGAATGCCCATATCGGTACGACCTCACGTTCACCGCCTCCACTCCTTCCTTGAGCTGAATCTAATGATCAACCTGCCGGTGTGGAGGCAAGGCAGTGGGGGTCTCAAACAAGTATGAATAGAGCCCTAGCAACTCCTGGAGCTCCGCTTGAAGGGTCGGCGATGTCCCTTCCTCGATCGGCCAGCACAGGATAGCTAGCTCGGCATCGCCACCTGGCCCGCAGTCCTTGATCGAGATGGATCCGACGACAGTAGTGAGGCCGTGCAGGGTCCACTCCTTATCCCTCCGTTTGAAACGCATGGTCAAGCGCTGCCAATCACTCGTGATAGGTCCCAGACTATGCAGCCATGGAATTTCGAGAATGATGTCGAATCCCCTAAGAGGCAGCACATACAGATCGGTGGTGATTTCCATGCCTTGAATATCCAAGGAGATACCCCGGTAGACCCACTCACTTCTCATGTGAGCGCCATTCGCCACCTTCACCACCAAGGGTTCGGTGGCCATTGGCCTTTGCTGTAGGTGCTTGGCGAACTCCTCTCCCACGAAGTTCAACGAAGCTCCACTGTCCACCAAGGTGATGGCCGCGCGCGCCTCGACCCGAACCCTGAAGCAAAGCGTTCCCGGAGAAGCCCACCCCGCTACCGAGTGCAGCGAGAGAAACAGTGCTGGCTCGCTGGCCGCGGTTGCTTCGGTCGCGCCGTCCACGGCGGGGCGCTGCTCAGTCTCCCGTTCGCCAGCGCGCGACGCGGCCTCAGCCGGCGTTGGGGGTCGCGCGGAGTCGGCGGCGAGAGTCACTGCCTCTGCGTCCGCGGGCGCCGGCTCCTCGGGTAGCCAACGACGTCCGATGCGACGGGCCTGGTCCCGCAGTTCTGCCCACGACAGGTCCGAGAGTTGTGGAGAACTCATCGACGATCGCAGGCTCTGATACAAGATGTTAGAAACAAGAATTCCCGATTGTGAAATTAGGGATTTAGAAAAGAAGAATTTAGGAATTTGGAGAAATTAGGGAAGAACAAGAGAGATGAAGAAGTGATTAGGGATTGGAGTTTCTAATTATTATTGCTTAATTCCCCAAAAATAATGATCTGAATCCTTAAGTAGTAGTAAACCGAAATAATGCAAATTAAAAGGCTGCCACTCCTCTCTTGGCCGAGTTCGGCCCACTCACTCAACCCGTGGTCGGGTTTCCCACAAACAGAGTATCATGCCAATGAGACGGGTTTGGTCCTAAGACAACAAGTTAGTATCATGACAAACTCTCTAAGACTAAGTGTAGAGGGTTATTGGCTGGTGTGTGGGGGGGGGGGGGGGGGAGACTTAGCTAACAAGATGTTGTGGCTAAAGTGGTTAGCAAGAGAGTCCAACAATGAAACTAAGTTTGGAGCCAAGGCAAATGGATTCGACCCCATTTAGTTAGGACCAGGTGGCTAAACGTGAATGTAGTTCAAGTCAACACCAATCAGCTCCGCCGTTGACTATAAATAGGAGAAACAAAGACGGGAAAATGGTTTACAAAAATCACAACTTTGGCACACAATCCAAGTTTATCATTTTCTCTGTAAAGTAACCATATGTGTAGTCTCTAGAGCTCTCACCCAACCTTGACCTTTGGAGGAGTAGAGTAACTTAAGGTAGGTTGTTCTAAAAACAATAAAAAAAAATCACACTGTGATTCAAAAATTGTTCGAACAAGTGTGAAATGTGTAATTAATTGTGGTTCAAAAATGTCTAAGTTCATCCGTTGATATTCAAACGAAAAATTTCTCACTAAAAAAACAGCTCTAAATTCGATACGAGCTGAACCAAACTAATAGTTCCATGACTAAGATCCAATTGGATTCTACCCAGACTCCGCATACAATCCCATGCTCGAAGCTCAACCAACTCTGCCACCTTCAACTCGATTTCACCTGTATGAAACAACCATCTCTTGCAAAACATCATTATAAATTCCGTTAAAAATGCGCCTTTAAGGCTCAAAATTGGCCAGTCTCACAGAATCAAACCCTTCGAGAAGCTCTAGATATACTGATCACAATCTCTGCAAACTGCACAGATCATGTTATATTTCATATAACACCTGTACAACCAAACACATTTGACTGGTCAAATTCAGCACTTTCCCTGGTTCTTCACTAATGAGGACCAAAAATTAATATAAGCACAATCTGATATCTAACCATAATAACTAACCACTCCCCGAAAAAATCAATTTATGTCAACTGCGACTTTCTGAGTTTACTGAAAATCCCTTGGCCCAAAATAATAAGCCCTCTTTTCAAATGTGTCTTAGGAACCGAACCTCCAATCAGGAGCTTTGGCGCGCGCTTTGGATTCCAACGTCAACGCCCGCGACAGAAAGGAAAATAGAAAACGAAATAAAAAATAAAATTCACACGAGGAGTCGTTGGGTGAAACGTCTCCGTCAAACCTCCGTGGTTCCGGCCCCAGCAATTTCAAAACCCAGACAGAAAACGACAAAATCTGCGAAGATTAAAGAAAAAGGAAAAAGAGTAAAAAAACAAAGAGTTGTCTTCTCACCAGAGGAACGAGAAGCCCCACGCCAGTCTCCCGAATACAGACGGCCATGGTTGGCGGTTATATCCATCCCTTTCTCCCCTCCCATTTCCCTCTCCCTTTCTCTTTCCTCCCTTCTCTTCTCCTCTCTGTTCATGTTCCTCTCCTCCCATGGCTGGCACCGGCGACGACGGCGTCGTCGATGATAACGACTCCCCGCTCTCCCCGCCGGACGACCTGCGCTGCGAACGAGGTGCAGGCGAGAAAGAAGAAGAGGAAGAAGAAGACGATGTGGATGATTACGAGGCGGAGCTGTTCGCCGGCGTCCGTTTGGCGGATGCTCCCATACTGTTTCTTCTCTGCTTCCACAAGGCTTTCCGTCGGGAGCTAGCGCAGCTCTGTCGGATAGCTGTTTCGGCTTCCCGGAGTAGGAGCTCGTGTGGAGGAGACGCGATTACTGAGCTGCGATCCAGATTCGAGTTCCTCAAACTTGCCTACGACTATCATTGCGGCGCCGAAGACCAGGTTTTCCTCTTTTCCTTCTCTTTCCCTTTCCGACTTTCTATTCCGCTAGCTCTGGAGGCTGAGAAACTTCCCCGGGAGGAAATAATTGGCAAAATTGATAATCGAATTGAATGCGTTTACTTCAGTTTTACTTGATTGTCTACTACTTGGCACCAAAAGAGAGAATCTCCGATGGAGAATTCGCTTTTAGCTTCACTTTTACTTCCCTGCGGGAGAACCGAAAGAATGCGATTCCACCAGGCAATCTGAATACTACGCTTTATGTGCCCTGTGCTGAATTTTGGTTCCCTTGTATGATAACCAAATATGGAAGAGATGGATACTATTATTAGTTAATATACTTAGTTTACGCTTTTGTTGGGGTAGTGCTCCATTAACACAGTCCACTTTTTCTCTGGTTTGATTACTGGTCGATTCGTTTCTTGTTAGGGAAACTGGTGTGCTATAGCTTTTAAGAACAAGGTCCACCACAACGTGGAGTCCATACTATTTGTTTTGTGTTTTTGGAATTGGGTATATACTGATTGCTTGAACATGAATTTTCTAATGCAGGTTATCTTTCTAGCGTTAGATGTCCACGTAAAGAACGTTGTTTGTGCGTATTCACTTGAACACAAAAGCATCGATGAATTATTCGACTCTGTGTCCCGTTGCTTGAAAGTGCTGACGGACGAAAAAAGTTGCGATTCTGAGCCAATTCAAGAACTGGTCACTTGCATCACCACTATTCACGCCTCCATATGTCAGCATATGCTTAAAGAAGAAAAACAGGTGATATTTTAACTACTGTTCGCAACTACTTTTGTCGCTTAATTTTGCTTGCTAAACTACAGTCTTAGTGTCTGGTTATTGGTTTGATTCCATTCTGTTGATTTGGGTACACATTGCGAGGTTTTTGCCGAGTTTTTTGTGTGTGGATATATGTGTCACCATTTCTAAACTAGAAAGAAGTCAAAGAACTATGCTACACTAAGTACAGCCTTACAGCCCTTGCTGAATGTTATCCTCAAACTTTCTTACTAGCTTCACAGGTGTAGTGGTTTAAATCATATTCATCAGGGAAATTTGAATGACGTCACGACTAGCTATTTGTATGTTGTAACTTCTGGCTGCACCTCAAAGCACCAACTGATCTCTGGATTTATTTGGTATCCAGAACTTTGTGTGGTTTCATTTTCACTCTTTCTTATCTTGATGACATTTTGAAGAATGTAACTTCAATAGTTATATGAGTTGCAATAAGTGTAATCCCTAGAAAATTCTGATAAAGGGGCTTTTTGATGTACACGTGGAATTTTTAAGTATTTCACACTTCAGACTTACACTCTCTTTGTTAGATAGTGACAATGTAATATATGTGTGTGTGTGTGTGTGGTTGCAGGTGTTTCCTTTGCTTGTGGAACGGTTCTCTCCTGTAGAACAGGCTTCACTTGTGTGGCAATTCCTTTGCAGTATACCTGTAATTTTGCTGGAGGATTTGCTGCCGTGGATGATCTCTCTTTCTCCTGAAAACCACATTGATGTTGCTCTGTGCATTAAAGAAATTGTACCTGAGGGATCACTCCAAGAGGTACTAGCCTAACTAATTCTCACCCTTTATATATTTATCCAATCCCCTTCTAGTGATTACTTCTAGTTGTTTTTGAAGGTAGTGATTTCTTGGCTCCGGATACACGATCAATTCCCTTCTAGGGATTCTACCAAGCCAGCCAGGAGAGGTGATGATGGATTTGCGTATGTTAAACATATGCCACGGCTGATCTTCTCTGCTAGATGTTTGCAAGAAAATTGGCAATGGAAGACCACATATTCCGTCCTTGCCAAAACAGAGCTCAGTGTTACTGACTGTTTCCATCTCTGGCATGGTGTGATTATGAAGTCACTAAAAGAAATTCTGGAAGAATCACACCAAATGAGATTGGGCAGTTTATTAGAAACAGATCCAATAGTCGTGAGGCTGAAATTCCTTGCTGATGTGGTTACCTTCTACAGGTACCTAGAATTGTTGCTGCCTGCTACTTTGACTTCTAGTTAACTATCCCCAAACTGTCTGATTTTGCTTTATGACTACGGTGAAAATCTGCTGTTGTCCTCCTAAGTATCTTTTTTGTTGGTTTGTTTTCTACTGTCAATCAGCAACGCGCTGAAGAAGTTCTTTGATCCCATGTTAAATAGACTGGCCAGTGACCACTTCAGTGGCTTATACGGTGACCTCTTCCCTATTGGAAGTCGCTTGGAGAGAATACAGCAGTTGCTCCATTTTAATACTCGGAAGAATTTGGCTGGACATGAGTTTGTGGAGAAGCTTTGCCAGGAAATCGAGTCCTTTGCTGTTGAAGTCAGCAAACAATTTAACTTTCTTGAAGCAAAGGTATTTTGGTTTAAGGTTTTAGTTATTACAAAGCCATTGCCAACTGTGAGCTGAAAGCTTTCATTTTGATCAGGTATTCCCTCTTATAGTCCAGAACTGTGACCCAGAAATGCAGCTGCAGCTCTTTCTGTACATGAGCTTTGGTATGATGCCTCTAGGCTTGCTAAAGTTTGTAATCACTTGGTTCGCAGCCTGTCTGTCCAAGCATGAGTTGGGCCCTATTCTTCAAGGCTTGAAACAAGGTGGCAGTTTAGCCAATAAATCCTTTCTGTCCCTCTTGCATGAGTGGTTGCTCGTTGGTTATTCTGGTAAATTCTCGGTTGAGGATTTTAGAAAGGACTTGCAGAGAATGTTCGAGTCTAGATGTTCTTTTTCTCCTGAAAGATCAAAGGAAGATGATAGATGCTCTTTCTTGCCCTTAGACTTGCAACCTTGTGAAGCATCTGACCATGATAAAACAGAGTCAATTTCTCTGTACGAGAACAAAATCTTCTCTTCGTATTCCTTATCTTCTGGTGTTAACCAAGCTAAGGCTTGCGAAGCATCTTATTCTAGAGAGATCAACCTACATGTATTTTTCCCTCAAACAGTAAGGCTGACTAAACCTTTTCCAAGATTACCTGGCGAGGAGAGTTCCAGAGCTTCCAGCATGGATGAGTCAATGCCTTTGGACTTTTTGCTTTTGTTCCACAAGCCGTTGAAGAAAGACTTGGAAAAGCTTGTCCTTTATTCTGCTCAATTGACTGAAAACTTCGGTCTCCTAACAGAATTTTACCAGCACTTCAACCTCTTGCAGAACAGATATAAGTTCCATAGTGATGCTGAGGATGAATGGATCTTTCCAACGCTCGAGGCAAAGGGGAAATCTAAAAATATTAGTCACTCCTACACCATTGATCACAAGCTTGAAGTTGAAAACTTCAAAAAAGTTTCCATCATATTAGAAGAGATGTCTGGCTTGCAGATGACTGTTTCTGTTATCAACACTCACAAGCAGGATCAAAGAATCATGAGGCAGAATCAACTGTGTCTGAAACTCCAGCGTAGGTGCAAGTCCATTAAAAAATTACTCTCTGATCATGTTCATCATGAAGAAATTGAAATCTGGCCAGTGATTAAGGAATGTTTGACAATCAACGAGCAAGAGATCATTGTAGCAAGTATGCTGGGAAGAACTAGAGCCGAAACATTGCAAGACATGATACCATGGCTGATCAACTCTCTAAAACCAGAAGAGCAACTAATGGTGATGTCCTTGTTGCGTAAGGTCACAAAGGACACAAACTTCAATGATTGGTTAGAAGAATGGTGGGAAGTATGTGATAAAGCTCCTAATTCAGAGGAGTTGAGTGCTTCATGTGATGCCAACTCCCTGGAGATTATCTCCAGCTATTTGTCCTCTGAAGCTCCTGACAAAGAAGGTGGCATTCTCAGCAACAGAGGCATCAATTTGCCTCAGAAAGATTGCAGTGGTGCTAAAACGGTGGCAGATAGTGATTTCACGGAAGACACAGAGGTTGCTGCTACAAAAGTAGTGGAAATTGAATGTTCAGACTGCATAAAGGTTCTCAGTACTGGTTTCAAGAAGGGCTACGACGAAGTAGCTGATGGCCTGGAGGAGAAGGAAAGCAGAGCTCGATCTCTCCAAGAAAATCTGAAATCCAGGAATCATGGATGCCTTCCGTCAATTGATCAAGAAGATGTAGAGTCTGCAGTAAGAAGAATTTATCGCGACTCATCCCTGGATCCCGAGAAGAAATCTCGTATGAGCCAGAACCTTTTGATGAGGTCAGTATCAATCTTTTTGAACTATCAGATAGTAGATTATTTTCCCTCCTATATAGCATACATCTTGTTTAATAAGGTAGTTGCCTATGTACAAAGGAAGTGAGCACATAATTATAGCAATGTTTATGTAGGTTTCTACTTCATCAAGAGTATGGGATATGATTAAAATTTAGTTGTCTCCCACCCCCAATGAATTTATAGAAGGGTCATGATATCTAATATTAACTAGCATAAGAATGGTATTTGCATGCAGAAGTTTTCTTGTCATCCATATATCTTAGTTTTATTTGGCTTTCTGTTTATGTTATCTGTACACAATAATGAATTAACCATTGCGTCCATATGGTTTCAGTCGTTGGCTTATTCAGCAACAGATAGATAATGCAAATGAAGTTCCCTCAATTAATGGCAAAGTGCTTCGAGGTCAGCATCCATCCTACAGAGATCCACTAAAGTTAACCTTTGGTTGTGAACACTACAAGAGGAATTGTAAACTTTTTGCTGAGTGCTGCAATCAACTGTACCCATGCCTACGTTGCCATGATGAGTTAGCTGATCATTCTGCAGACAGGTATGAACATGTAATCGTTTCTTTTGTTGACTTCTCACCTTAATTGTCGTTCTCATTTCCCCCCCTTATCTTGCATCTATTTCTTGCGCAGACGGGCTATTCAGAAAATGATGTGCATGATTTGCTTGACTGTCCAACCTATACAGCAGACTTGCACATCTGTCATCTGCAATAATTTGTCTATGGCAAAGTACTATTGCCAGATTTGCAAATTGTTTGATGATGAAAGGTATGCAGTTTGGCCTACTCACTGAAACTGGCTTCTGAATTTGAGTATCTGGAAAATTTAATGAATTATCGCAGCATCATGTGCTCAATTATCTCTCACGTAGGTAAACTGGTTTAGTTGGGGGAAAAGATTTGTGACATTGAGTGTAGCTCACGTTTCTTAGGTTCTGTATCAGACCTGAGTGAGGGAAGATGAAAAGTGTGGTATGAGAACTGTATAGTTGCAATTGTCTATATGGATTTAGATACGCTGAATCTTACATGTATAATTTGTTCAACAGGGAAATCTACCACTGCCCATTCTGTAACCTCTGTCGTGTAGGAAAGGGTTTAGGGATTGACTACTTTCACTGCATGAGGTGTAACGTCTGCATGTCCAAGTCTTTGTCGAACCATGCTTGCAGAGAGAAATGGTTTGAGGATAATTGCCCCATTTGCCACGAGGACATCTTTACATCTAGTACGCCAGTAAAAGCTCTTCCTTGTGGCCATCTTATGCACTCCCCTTGCTTTCAGGTGCTTCAGAGTCACTTCCTTAAAACCATCCAAATTGATCCGATAACATACTTTTGGAATCCTACTCATGCTTCTTAACCTGATTTTAGGACTACACTTGTAATCAATATATCTGCCCAATATGTAGCAAGTCACTTGGTGACATGAAGGTTAGTAAAGTTTCTCTTCATTTCCTTCTTCTGAAGAATTTCAGCCATATAGGAGATTGAAGTATTAGGTCGTGATTGGCATGCTTGTTCTAACGCCATTCTCGGACCAAAATTTGTCCCCTGGTCATGCTTAAACTTTTAGCTTATGTCTTGTAGACTAGGATCCTTTGTATCAAACCAAAGTCTTAACTTAATAGGATTGTTAGGATGAAAGGAATGATAGTACTAAACCTATTACTAGTGGTGCTAATACTATATCAATGACTGTAACACACATATGCTAGATATGCACACAGTAAACTGAATAACTTTGACCAATAAATGTCCTTGCAACAGCCAATATGTCGGATGTTAATGGTCTCAAGGGCTCGGTTTTAAGTTCATACTAGTACAAGCTTTACAAGGAAATCACAGGCTCATAGTGTGTGAAATATCCTGTTCGCTGTAGTACAATTTAGTCGACACATAAATCAATGTATCCTGATTGTCCAATAAAAGATCCTATCCTCCTGCGAGTTTCCTCACAGTGCAACAGTCAGAAATCAGGCTCATCCCTCATCTGGTTCTGTCTTCATCTGGTTGCTTTTATTATTGCTTTCTAAAATAACTTGGTTTGTCTTGTCGCATATTTCATTTCCGATAGCTTCCTTTCCTTTTCGTTTGTTTTCTCTTTTGTTTATCATCTCAGTCAAAGGTTGCTCTTGAAAATCCTTTAAGATGGTGAAAGTATTTCTCAGGTGTACTTTAAGATGCTGGATGCCCTTTTGGCTGAAGAGAGAATGCCAGAGGAATATGCAAGCCGAACTCAGGTTTATAAAGATCATCTTGTCCTGCACTTGTCCGCATACCCTCTTTGCTGGCTGTTCCCTGTTGTTTATGCTGATCATTGATCATTTACAGGCCATCCTCTGCAATGATTGTGAGAAGAAAGGAGCTGCATGCTTCCACTGGCTTCATCACAAATGCCCGAATTGTGGGTCATACAACACCAGGCTCCTGTAATGCCTGCTCTCTTGTGTGAGTGACCATCAACTTTTCGTCTCAGAGGTGCTGCGATTTAAACAGAGGTCTGACCTTGCACATAATTCTCTTGTTTGTCTGCCACTTGATCTTGACAAAATAACAAGAATGCTCAAAGCCGATAGCTTCCTGTGAAAAAGGAAAAAAAAGTGCCAAGGTCTTTGCGGTTAGATGCATTGTAATAAGTGTCGTTGTTAGATTCAATTCCCATTATTAGTCTTCCCATGTGGGTATGGCTATACTCTGCTTGTAGTTCCTTCCACTTTTCTATTGTACACTATCCATCATGATAGAAATGGAATGACATTTTGACTGTCTGCTCTACTTGGTAGACGTAAGACTCACTTCGTTTTTCATCCCGATTCAAGTATTTAACCATCAGATAATTAGTCTGCATGCTTTATAGATGCTGATGCTGAACCTTAGCTAGTATTTTTACAATACGAATGTTGAAAGGACAACCATTTGTCGAAGGTCACAGTCACACAATTATAATCAGCCAGAATGCTTCTGGTGGCCTCGACTGAAAGTCATAACTGGCTTTATTTTTTACAGCCTTTTGATATTTCTCAAGTGTCGTTGTTGTATGATGCAAGTTTTTTGTGGGATTCGATTCAAGTCTTCTAGGCTTATACATTATGTGATGAACTAGATAGAGGCCAAACACATTCGAGTTTAGGAAATCATTCTGCATCCTAGTACATACTCGGAAGAGTTTGTATCCAGTAGAAGTTCTGCAGTTCGCACCAAGGATGTTGTTAATAGGTGGAGAAATGGCAGTAGTGCAAGAAAACAGTCAGACATTCTGCATTTTGTTTTCGGCAGTTATAATTAGTTCTTGAAGAAGGTACTAGGGTTGGCAAAGTAGTGAAACAGTATTCCTTGGGAGATAATCTTATTTCTCTTCATAATGTATGGACTAAAACTATGAATGCATTCATTGTTCAACTATGAAATAATCAAAACTTCTAAAGCACGATTACAGATGTCCAAGAAATAACGAAAGAATCTACAATCTGTCGAACCTCGAAAAGATATAGAAACCAAACCCCTCAAGATTGTCAAAAGATGTACCCAATTGAAAACAATGCGTGATTTGACGATGGAGAAAAGAACTGAATGAGAACTTGAAACCAAGATTATCGAGAAACTATATTCTGCACCAAGGCTTCATCTGCATGCTCTATAGATTCTTGTTTTTTTTACTTATCTGAATGATTATATCAGTTGACACTTGTGAGACTGAAGCATGCCGCCGCGCTCTTCAGCTCGTCCTCTGCCACTACGTGTTGCTCAAGGGACTGTGTAGTGTCCTTGAGAGACTCTTCCGAGCTGGAAAACACACAGATTTCAGTTTCATTTCTTAACCACGTATAGGGTAACAAACCTTGTATGAGAAGCAGCATATAGATGAATTTACCTTGTATCATAAGCCTCTTTAGAATCAATATACGATTGTCTGTCATCGATGGTGTCGAAAAACGGATGCATCTCATCATAGTCCTGCACAACTTCTTCCTGGATACCACCTAGTGGCTGTGCTGCTAACAACTGGGACTGAAGAGCACCCATGGAGGATGAGGAATTGGTGACGGCATTATTATTGTTGTTCATACCATAGGTATGCTGAAGCCAGAATGAATTGACTGCTGCTACATTATTATTATTGTTGTTATTATCGTCCTTGGTGGCATCAAAGTAACCGGTGTTGTATCCTCCCACAGGGTTGCTGCTAATGGGGTAGGACAACTGCTGCTGCTGATCGGGAGTCACCGGAGACGGCATCTGAGCCATCACTCCAGCCGCAGCATAAGCCTGCTGTGCAGGGTTGTGCCCGAACAGCGTGAGGGCTGCATTGTTGTTGTTACTTGCAGGAGGGGCCATCCCCAATTCCAACTGCGATGAAGGCACCATGTCCTCTGCAGCCGCCGCGCCAGCATCGAGGCCGTGGTGGTGGTGGTGATGCTGACGATACATGTTGAGCTGCGCGTGGATGGCATGGAGCTCCTCCTCGGCCTGGCGGATCTGGTACTGGAGGCGGCAGATGTAGCCGTAGCAACCCTGAACGGGGTAGAGGTCGCGGATGTTGGCCTGCCATATGATGGAGTGCATCGCCTCCTGCCTCTGGGGACCGTCCAGCTTCTCCAGTATCTTGACGATGTTCCTCACGCCGAACAGCTTGTGCGCGTTGCGGAACATCTCCGGCTTGTTCGCCGGGAAGTAGGGGGCTAGCTGACACTCGGACGTGCACTTCCGCCGCTGGTACTTGCACGCTGCGCAGGCGTGGCTTGTGCCACCCTTCAACGTCATGGCTCTTGCTTTCGCATCAACCCCTCCTTCAAAACAAGGTACCTTTCTTCTTCGTCTTCGTCTTCTTTCTGGTTACGATGGAATGTGAAAAGAGAAATGTGGGAGTGGATTGGCGTGACTTAGATTTGGTTAAGGTTTTCTTGATGTGTTTTGTTTGTTGGTGATGGTGATTGGGTAGTTTGGGGAATGGGAGAAAGAAAGCAGTTTTGGGGGAAGGGGGTGCTGAACGAGTCTCTGTTAGTGGGAGCGGATTTGGTGGAGGTGAAACAGAGACTGAGTAAAAACTGAAACTTTGAAATTTGGAAACAGAGAGAAAGATAGAACTAAAAAGCTCCGATTTTGAAGGGACGTTTGTTACAAAAACACAACAGTCTTATTTTTCTTTACTTCCGGGGAAGGAGGGAAACTAAACTATACACAGGGCGTATGATTGGGATTTGGCTACGTAGGCTGATAAGGGTAGGCTTTTGTTTCTCCTTATTTTCTATTTCATTTTTTATCTTTATTATTATTATTATTATTATTATTATTATTATTATTTTTGAAGTGGGTTACATTTACTCTTTTTCACCTTCTACTCCTATGATTTCGCATTTAACGTTGATTGTTGTTAAATGACAGCCATCGAATTGATGGGGATTTATATTATTTTACTTTGTTGGTTCGTGAATTCTGTTTTATTTTGGTATACCATAATTAGTGATAATAAAATGAAAATGGTCAAGTATTATTGATTAAAATTAATTTGAAATAAATTATCTGTTAGCTCTTCAATTTTCGTAATTTTTTGGGATATGATTTTATGTTGTCATAGTTAATCCATTTATGATTTCTTGTATCATTTTAAAACAAATAGGACTTTTAGAACAAAAATAGATTTACCCGCCATAACGGAGGAGCCGATAAGCTGGAAACCGCCTCGTCCTTAGTGGGTCTGCCTCAACTCTGTTGTCTCGCATAGTACGCTTTGAATTTGGCTCTTGCACTATAACCTAGACCTAGTTGAGGGGAGTTGACTTGTGGAGGGTCTTCAGGTTGCGTGGGATGCAGGTCACAGACGAGTCCATGTTCAGCCAGACTCCCAGCAGGCAGCAACAATCATATCGCGATGGGGACAGGTTACGGTGATTACTAAGGGCAAATTGGGTATAACAAAAAATTTATTAATGACCTTTTTTAATAAATTACATTTTAGGAAATTACATAAATATATTAAATACAATTTTTCTCTCTCTCTTTCTCTCACTTCCACAATTTTTCAGCCCGATCTCTCTTCCTTCTTTTTCTCAATCTTTCCTTGATTTCATTCATTCAAATTAATACCACTGCAACAACAAAACAATAAATCAATACCAATCCATTAAAAAAATACTACCATTGTACAAAACATCAATACTATTCAAGAAATAAAAACACTACCATTTCACAAAACATCAATACCATTGCAGATTTAATCACTATCAATGCGACAAAATCAATACCAATGTAACAAAATCAATACCAATGCGACAAAAATAAGACCAATGCGACAAAAATAAGACCAATGCGACAAAAACACTACCACTACGAAAAAATGACTACCATTTAAAAAAAAATCACTACGGAAAAAAATGACTACCATTTAAAAAAAAAACATACCATTCCAATGGAATTCCTCCTTCCTCCTTCCAATTGCCATTAACAAAGCAAATATACTTCAACAGAAACAGAGAAGAAATGAGAAAAGTTAGTAACTTGTTGAGAGAAGCAAAGAAAATTCAGTACCTGAAACGTGCCCAATCCACGACTGAGCAATCCGTCCAAGCATCTCCACGGCGAGCTGGTAGCTCCACGACAACCCTAGGCGCGCACGGGACGACGAGTCCATTCGGGGGCGACGGAGATGATGGAACAGACGGTGGAGGTTGCGCCGCTAACCATGCCGCAAGAGGAACCAACGAGTGCTGAGGAGAAACCATATTGACAATCGGGACATTTGGGATTTGCCTAAACCGGAACAAAGGGAAATTTTTCTCTCGCCGCTGCACCGATCGGAAAAAAGGGGAAACTTCAGGACCTGTCTCTGCATTTACTTGATTTGTTTGGTTCTACCTTTTGGTATAATTTGGAATACACTAATCTGCCTATTAACTTTAATCTTTCTGGCCTGCGGGAGGATGATGGAGGCGGCCGGCGGGAAGGGTGGATGGGTGGGGTGAGGTGAAGGCGGCGGGAGGGAGAGGGATGCGGCCGGCAGGAGGTGGGAGGGTGGAGAGGTAGGGTTGGAAATTAAAGGTAGGTTATAAATATAGGTAATAATCTGGTGTGGTAATATTTTGATTCCCAAACTATCCTTAATTTAATCTTGACCGTCATTTTAAAAAAAGGAAAAAATAGAGCTAATGAAGGGTTTAGATATAGGTAGCCACAATGGTTACTAAAAAACTAGTATCCACCCTAACGCATTCCTATCGCGATGGGTTGTTACCATCGAGCATGTGTATAGAGAGGATAATAGATGTGCAGACTACTTGGCTAGTCGAGAACATGATTTTCCTTTTGGTTCCAAACTCTGATATGATGCCCAACTATTGGATCTTATACGGTTGTTAGGAATGGCAATCAAACTAGGTGTGGGCGTTGGGTCGGTTCGGTTTGAACTGAAATGGTATGTACCGACTTTCCGAAACTTCCCACACCCCAACCGAATTCGAACTGCTATAATTCGATTCGGTTCGACTGAATCGAATTATAACTCGGTTCGGTTTTCTTCTCAAAATCAAATTCCATGTTGTTGACCTACTGAGTGATGTGACAGTTTTGGTGCTTCTGCTGCCTTTTGGACCATAGGGTTGCTCGACATTTAGCAATAGAGCTGCTGTGTTTTGGCTTCTCATTTGAGTTGTTCACCACTTAACATTTCAATTTTATAGACCAAATACAATTAATTAAGGGGTTAATAGCATTTTATGCCCTTCTACTATTGTAAGTTAACAAATATGCCCTCTGTTGATATGACTTGAATCGGATTATCAGCCGCTACGACTGTTAATCGGGGGTCTCAATGTTATTTGGGTTCGGGTTCTGGGCCTGGTCTGTAACCGTTTCCTTTGTCAGATTGGATTAGGTTTAGACCCACATGGAGAAGTACTATAAATACTTCTCATACTCCTCTGTAATCTGTAATCTCCTTGATATAGTGAAATCGGCTCTCTCTCGCCCGTGGACGTAGCTAACACACATCGTGTTAGTGAACCACGTAAATCGTGTGTCGTGTTTTCGATTCTCGCTTTCGTATTCTTGCTTTGTCGATTCCGGCGATTTCCCGATCCGTAGCAGCGCGTTTATAACAAGTGGTATCAGACCCGCGGCTGGAAATCAGGCTAGGGTTTTCGATTCAGAAGAATGACGTCGGTGAACATGAAGATCGAAAAGTTCACGGGGAAGAACAGCTTCGCTATATGGCAGATCAAGATGCAGGCTTTATTAAAACAGCAAGGGCTGTGGGGGCCGCTGTCTGCGAAACAGAAGAAGGCAGCGGTCGATGACGATGAGTGGAATACCCTGGAGGAGAAGGCCCACTCGACCATCATGCTATCGTTGTCTGATGACGTCATCATTGAAGTCGCTGCTGAGAAGACTGCCGCGGGCTTGTGGTTGAAACTAGAGAGTCTGTACATGACTAAGTCTCTAACCAACAAGCTGCATCTCAAGCAACGGTTGTTCAGCTTGAGGATGCAAGAAGGTACGCCTTTGAGGGAACATCTCGAACAACTTAACTCTATTTTGCTGGATCTGCGTAATATAGATGTTCAAGTTGATGACGAGGATGCTGCCCTAATCCTGCTGGTTTCTTTGCCGAGTTCATATGAGAATTTTGTTGATTCTTTTATTGCTGGTAAAGAAAGCGTGTCGTTGGAGGATGTCAGGTCTGCTCTTCATACGAGAGAGATCAGACATAAGGCGTCCGGTTCTGGTACAGGTGGTGAGGCATCGGGTTTGGCTGTTACAGGTGGAAAAGGAAAGAAGAAATCTGGTAAAGGGAATTCGAGCAAGAATTCCAAGGGTCCCGGTCCACAGCCAGGTGATGCTTGTCACAACTGTAAGGAAGTGGGGCATTGGAAGTACAACTGTCCCAAGAGAAGAGGGCAACAGAAGAAACAAGGTTCAGTTGTCGTGGCAGAAGTGGACAACAGTTCTGAAGACGATCTCGCCTTGGCTGTAGATGAGAAGGCACATCGTGGTGATGTGTGGTTTCTGGATACTGCAGCCTCATACCATATGTCACCGAACAGGGATTGTTTCACAACCTACGAGCAGATAGATGGTGGTAACGTGGTCATGGCAAATGGAGCTGTCTGCAAGGTTGTTGGAATCGGGTCCATAAAGGTTCGGACACATGATGGTTCGTTCTGTACCGTGAATGATGTCAGGCATGTTCCACGAATGACAAAGAACCTGATATCCTTGAGTCTACTCGACAGCAAGGGTTTCAGCTTCAAAGGAAAAGGTGGAGTTGTGTATGTCTGCAAAGGTTCAAGGAAGGTGTTGAAGGGCGTGAAGCGTGGTACCTTGTATGCATTACAAGGGTCTGTGTTGTCTGGTTCTGCTGCAGTTGCATCGTCTCAGGTTCAACAGGAAGATATGACCACTCTCTGGCACATGAGACTGGGGGCATATGAGTGAACGGGGGATGCAAGTTCTATCGAATAGGGATCTTCTTTGTGGGCACAAGGTGCAGAATTTGGAATTCTGTGAGCATTGTGTGTTTGGGAAGCTACATCGCAGCAAGTTTCCCAAGAAGGGTATCCACCGGACGAAGGGGATACTGGATTACCTCCACTCCGATTGTTGGGGTCCTTCACGAGTTGAATCCATTGGAGGCAGCAGGTATTTTCTGTCTATTATTGATGATTATTCGAGATTTACTTGGATTTTCATGATGAAGCAGAAAAGTGAGGCTTTCACGAAGTTCAAGCAGTGGAAGACATTGGTGGAGAATCAGACCGGTAAGAAGATCAAGAAGTTGCGAACGGACAATGGTCTGGAGTTCTGCAGTTCTGAGTTCAACGAATTCTGCAAAGATGAAGGGATTGCCCGTCATCGGACTGTTAGAGATACACCCCAGCAGAATGGCGTTGCAGAAAGGATGAACCAGACATTGTTGGAGAGAGCACGGTGCATGCTCTCTAATGCTGGACTA